CAGAATGAATGGGCTTAAGGAATGCATGGAAAACTGTGATTAGCTGAGTTTCCTTCAGCTCTTCTATCTTTCTATCACTGATGGTCATGGTGGGAAGAGTCTTTGGTTTCAGGGCCCAGAAGTAAAATAAACAAATACAATTTGGGGGGAGCTTGAGGAAGTCACCCAAAACTACACACAAAAAGGAATCAGATAATGATAGGCTGTTGATTTTTAAATACAGCTTATTAACTCAAATCCCTCCTTAACAGGCATTGGAGACTGCCCATGCAGGGTGTGTCCTGTTATAGACATTTTCCTAGAGCTATTTCCACCCCTTGCCCTCGTATCTGATTTTATGTACTTCAAAATGCCATTAGTTCACTCGAGTGACTTTAGTTCTATTGACAATGTTAATTCTCTGCCTGTACAAACCAAAGGCTACTCAGGATAAGCTGATTTTTGTTTATTATCTGACAAGACTCAAGATTACACTAAACTGATTTTGGTATGTGTCTCTTCAACCTAATGGTATTGGACTTGTCCTCTCAGCTTAACCATCGGAGTCGAATGCCTCCTTGTATTATATTTATACCCGAAATAAAAGTCATGAGCCATTTAAAATTAGCTACAGTAGTTTGCAAAAGGGTGTACATAATTGCACAGGTTTAAACTATTAGTAAATTGAAAGGTGGGTGTGAGTGATCGCATGTGTACTTTAGCTAAAACTATTTCCAAGTGCAAGTCTAAAGATCTGTTTCTCTTCCAGCACATGATGAATTTGTTCATGCCAGGGCTGCTGATGGTTTGTGGCCGGCACTGTGTCACACAGATCTCAGGAGGTTTGAGTCAATAGGGTCCGATGTTGACACTGCATCATAATTTTCATTGTCCCTTTCTATTAGACTTAGCAATCACATATGAGGCAAGACTGAAATAAAAGAATAAATTCTGAACAGAGAAAAGGCACTATTTTATGAACTTATAAAATATGGAGGGAAAATGGCCCTGATTAGAACTTACATCTGTATTTATGTGTGTGTGTTGCTAGACATAATTATACATATATATATATATATATATATATATACACACACACACACACTATAGTACTAGTACTGATAGTACTAGAACATAGCCACTTATAAAAACTCTGGGCCCATGTCATCCTGGTGTCCTTTTTTTTCTTCGGCCCAGGATCGAAACCAGGATGATCAGAAAATGAAGCTACGTGCATCGATTCCACTCTACCAAATAGAACAATTCAGTCTTGCCGAAAACATAGTCTTGGATGAATCCTTACTGGTCACTGTTTGCTTTACTTTCCTGACGTTTTTTATGTCTTTTGTAAAGGAGTCCTTCTTCTCTGAAGATCTTTCTGTCTGCACAGTCTGACCTTAAATCTTTTGAATTCAAAAGAAGACAACTGTTGGAACAGAATGTGACTTTGCAACAACCAATCCTCGATGATGGGCCACACCTCCAAGGAGAGGTGCCCCGAGCAAGCGGGCCCTGCTGTTAGAAGGCAGATTTTTAAAACTGTGTGAACACTTTTAATATATTACTACTCCTGTGGGAACTGGCTACTTTTCTTCCCACTTCAGAAAACACATAATGGGACTTTGTGTTTCAATTTAACGTCCCTTGAAAACGGAAATCTTTCCCCTTATGAGGAAAAAAAAAAAAAAGCCAGCAAGGAGGGAGACTAAAGGCAAGAGAGAAATGAATTAGGCAGTCTCCAAAGAGCACTGGCTCAACTGGGAAACTGCGACCAAAGCAAAGCTCCATAATAATATAATGACCTTTAATGAGTGTCTTGGGAAACAATACAACCCTAGCATAAAAGACAAAGGGCAAAACCCATCAGGGCTCTGCTGACACTAATTCAAAATGATTTTCAGAACAACTAAAGAATGTAAGAGAAGTAATCTGATCCGCCCATCTGACCTCACTTTGATTCAAGGGCCCTTCTCCTGCCATTTCTAATTGCCAAACCCTCTACATTTCACATCTGCTCATATTTAATGAAAAGCCCACTCTTGCCACTGCTCTTTGAGTCCACCAGCTCTGTCAAACGGGCACCACCCAACCCCACCACCAGCAAGGCAAGCTCAGGGATTGCTGTTGGAGCTCTGCCAGTAGAGTTCTGCATAGAGATAGACATTTTTTAATTGGAGAAGAAGGGTTTATGTGGGCGCATGAAGGGGCTCAAGTTGGAATGGATTTTCTAACTTATTGTTAATGGTCAAAGGTGAGAGGACTCACACAGGGATGGATGAAATCTGCTTTTGTTTGATGGTGTGAGGACGGCGGGAAGACTGATGAAACAGAGGAGGCAACCCCTCCCATCCCTGAGCTGTCAGTACCAGTTACGGCTCCAACACACAGCCCAGAGCTCCATGTTTTCCATGGTGGGGCTGATTTGGGAGGGTGGGAGGGACAGCAATCTCACACGCAGGATGTTTCTGAAAGGATGGGACAAGTTTTTCTTCTCCTGGCCTCCATCAATGCTTGGATTAAA